CCATTTTATATATATATATATATATATATAAATAAATATAAAAAGATATTGCCCCTTCCCTTCAATAATAATTGTGAAAGAATACTAATAGATAGCATTTTTAAAGTGCAAATTCTCGCTCAACAGAAAGATCTGTGCACTTTACAATCTATATTATCCCTCCAGCAGACCCAATAGCATTCTAAATCAATCTCAACTTCCTGGGAAGTATACTACTCACTTTCTGTCTCTTTATTGAGCTGGGCCAGATGGGAGCACTGTGTGAATGCGGGTCTTTCGTCTTCCTCTCATGATGCGCCGACACAGCAGTTTTAGAGACAGTCTCATGAGGACCACCCGGACCAAATTCCACAGTCTTAGTCGTCATGTAGACAGTACTGTCCTCCTCACTCTCCTTCTTTCTCTCCGGCTGTGCTGAAGGTGGTCGAGACTGCATTCTAGAGCCAGACCTCGAACGTTCGTAGTAGTTTTGTTCAGGGGCAGACTTATGGAGAATTTGAGACACAGGCAATCCAAAGTCATCAAGCTGCTCAGCTTGGCTCAGTTTGGACACCATAGTTTCCACTTCCTGCATTGATTTCTTCCCTTTCTTCTTATTTGACTTTTTTTCTTCGTCCTCGGCAGCAGTATCATCAGTGTAGTCGACGGTAACAACAGAAACCAGCTGTGACCGATTTTGTGAGGATTGCGGTACTGAAAGACCTGACTGTGAGAACTCTTGCTCAATATCTTTTCTGAACGCCTTCATTTCATCCTCAGTCAAACCTAGGCCTTCAAGACCAGCATTGCAGAGACAGTCAGAGTGATCTTTTGAAGGCTTGTCTTGTTGAGGCAGAGAAGCTGATTTTTTGGCATTAGGTCGATACGTTGTATTTACCACCTTTCTGCCCATGTTCCGTGGAGTGATGTCCACTGTTATGTTCCTGTCTTCTCGGAATTTCACTCCCATGGCCCTTGCTTTGGCTCTGGCTTTATCAAGGGACTTAGGGCCAAGTGGCTTCCTTATGATCTGGGAATTTTCACTAAGTTCTAAAGCAAGGAACGAGGTATCACCACCATCCGGGAGAAGAAATTCTTTCTGTCCACTGACATTGCTCTTCTTCTTTGAGTCATCCGTGGAAGTATTTGGAACATCTGTATCCTTCACACAATTTGCTGGAATTCTAGCATCACTTTCATTAATTCCAACCTCCCTGACATCCACATCAATGTCACCGTCCGAAGAATACTCAGAGCTTGAGTCACTGCTTAAGAAGCTATCAGCACTCTCTCTGTTCTTTCGCTCTTTTCTAGCTCTGTCTCTTTTTTCCCGATCATTTTGCTTTTTCAACATTTGTTCATGCAGCTTTGATTGAATGGTAGTTTTGATGAATCTTTCAGAGGAATTAATTTCCTGGGCGTCAGGTGAATCAGCGTAGTCCACATCATGAAGAGACTCGGGCCATGTCGTGCAAACATCCGCTGCTTGAGTTTCCTCTTCTTCTTTTTTCCTCTGGACAAAATTATCAGCTTCTTGCAAGAGCCTGAAAAATGAAACGGCAAAAAATCAGAGTCTTTTTGTGTTTTTGGGGGGGGTTTTGTTATGGGTTTGGGTTGGGGGTTTTTTTTTGGGGGGGGGGGGGGTTCTAGAAAACATTCGTATAAAGTTTTCTCTTTCTGTGATATTTATAACATAAGCCTTCTCAAAAGAATCCATAATGATCAATGTCAACTATATTCATTCAGGAAATGGTTGGGAAGAATTTTTTAATTTTGCTCAGACAAGTACCCTGGTCTAAATTTTTTGGGCTATTCTGAAGCACTGAAATGCTTACATACATTTGTTTTGTTCCAGGATTTTTTTTTTTAACCTGATTTTTAAAAAAATACCTGATAAAAAAATTCAAGTTCCAGCAAGTCAGGACAGTCTAAAGTTGAATTAAAAGAACCCATTTTTTCTAAAACCAAACAGTCTTATACCTTTTTTTATTTCACCCAACTAATTCCATAAGTCACTCAACAGGTGAGATTTGGTATTCAAAACGTTCAAGATTTTCATTCTTGATATTGATAGGACCTGGAAAATAGCTCATCTCTGTTCATCTCATCTGTGACAGCTGTGAAGAGACTTGCAACTCTTTCAAGAAATAATTTTTACAGAGTGTAGCATGGCCAGCTAATACTTTTGGGAGAGGTCAAAGGAGCATTTACAAGGAAACCTATTTTCAAATTTTTCAAATAATTTTTTCTAGCTTTTTTTCATGCATCTTCAAATATGGCTGAGTACGCTCACAGTACGGGTTAAAAGAGGGAATTCTCCTTGAAGTCTGTTATTTTCAGAGGATATCTATCAATCTTTCTGACACTTAACAGCACAGTCATATTTCTTTTGACTATATTAGGTCAGCAATTTTACCTGTCTGTGTCAAGCAGTTCTGAGTCATCAGCACCATCATCAGTTGTAGGTAGAGACAAGTGTATGGGATGAGACTGGGGTCTGTACCGCAGTGGAGGTGTGCTCGGCCTGTTGAAACAAATAATTATGTTACGACTATCATTGCCAATTCAAGTCTATTTTTCCTTAACTTTCATTATTCTTGCTTTCTCCTTTTTCCGTATTTGTTTCAAAATGAATAAAGATGAAAGGGCCATCTATGAAGAGATCAATGTCTCCAAAGAAGGTACGAAGACAGGGAAAGCAAAACACTTAAACAGGTATTTTAGTCACCGCGGGGTGGATTCAGGCCCTCCTCAATTTTTGGGCATGGGGAGTTCTTGGTATCATCTGAAAGCTAATTTAATTGCCTTATTTCCAATTAAATAAATATCCATTTATCTTGAATAGAACTCAAGATATTTGCGATCGAAGAAAGTGACGTCGCCTGGTTTCAGGAGTGAAATTAGCAAGAAAATGGCCACCAAAGTTTGGTAACTCTCCAATAGAAAAAGTCTTTGAAAACTGAAAAATGACATATTTTGTGCCTTTAATCAATGTTTTTAAGTAAAATTCACATGGAAATCTATTTTGAATTAACATAAAAGAGGTAAAGCCAAAAAACAAATGTTCGATAAAAATTTCCAAACTAGTAGAAAAAATGCCTGTTTCTCCGATTTTGTTATTTTGACGAGTGCCTGATTTCACCATGCTGCCTCACATTTGAAAGCTCTACACAACACAATTCACACCTCTGAAGCTAAAATGGATGAACATAACTAAAACTTATTAGCAGTCTTACCTCAAAACTATTAAGATTGCATAAGACTCAATTCATAATTAATAAAACTTAAAACCTTTTTTGCTATGTCAATCTCAAACAAGTTGAAATACACTATACGAAGACCTTCGAGAAAAACTCATAGATACCAGGAAAACTCAACCCACAGGGTAAAAGATCAAGGGGAAGACCACGTGGAACCTGGAGAAGAGTCACGGAAATGGATGTACAGAAAAGTGGGAAGACGTGGAGTGACATCAAGCGACTAGCCCAGGATAGGGAAAGGTGGAAAGTGTTTGTTCGTGGCCTATATCCTGATCAAGGGTGAGAAAGGAAATGATGATGATGACTTGGAAAACTCACCTTCCAGAAAATTCTTCCTCATACTCAGAGTCACTTTGGACCGGAGAAGAATACGGAGCATTTGGAGGGAGCGGGTCACCTTCATACGTTGGATTTCCTAGATATTTCAATAAAAAAATGTAAACTCTTAATCCAAGTTAATAATTTTGTTTTTGTGAACTGTATCACTGAATTTTTGCCTTTAGTCCAAGATGTTAGCTTTAACCCAAAATAACAAGACCAATTCTCTTCACACTTTAAATTGTTGTTGTTAATGATGATGATGATGATGATGATGATGATGATGATGATGATGATGATGATGAT